CTCATTGACATTATCACACCTTCATTCAATTTCAGCACACGTTTCATATCCTTTATTAAAGTTAGTAAATTAACTTCAGATAAAAATACTGTCCTGGTCATCTTCATGATTTAATCCACTTAAAAGAAAAGTTTTACTGTTTTAGATACCAGAACACAGCACCTTCAACATGTGCGAACAGCTGCATATGGCCTACAATCTTTAAGGTATGCGGGTACTAAACTGAGGAATAAGCTGCCAGATGAGCTGCGTAGGGAATCATCTTTGAATCAATTCAAGGGCCTTGATAAATTCTTGGTATGTCAGCTCATGCCAATGCTTCGCTGCAAAACAAGTTATATATGTTCATTGTTTTTAGTTTAATGCTTCGTTTTCAGCATGGCAAATTTTTTTGTTAACTTATAGTGCTTCTGCTATATGATGCTTATTTTAGTTTCTTAACTAGTCTCTATGTGTTTTTTTATGTTGCAAACCATTTTACCTTTGCTTTTGTGTTTTTACACCATAAGTGCGTGCTTCAATATATGTGTTTAAGATGCTTGGTAGAACTTTTGTGCTGCATTATCTAATAGAAAAGAAAGGATATTTCTTTTTAAAAATGACTGGTATGTTTGCATTATATGAACTCTTGCTTTCTATGTTTAACTGTATGTGTGCATGACTTGATATGCATGTTTTGTTTGTTGTGCTTTTGTTTTGTCGGTTTTAAAAGCTCTTCAGAGCTTATGTTTGTAATTGTATTTGTAAAGCTTGATGTCTTATGTCTCATTTTTGTGATTACGACTAAAAAATGCCAAAATAAACAAATCTGCATTTTCAGTAGTACTCACTTATGCTGTTGCAACCTCAAAGAATGCATATGAATCTGTCACAATGGGATTTGAGTGAAGTTTCGAAGACGTTTTAAAAATGACTGGTGTGAAATATATTCAAAAGGAATTGGCGCAACTAAATTGTTATTTTGAAAAGTTGTATTAAACAAATTCAAAGGGAGTTGGCTTTACCTCTTTTCCATCGCAGTCGGTCCACTTTATATTGATTTTTCGATTAATGTGTTTGCGTCCTTAATATGCATGAAATGCTTGCCACTGAACATTAAACAAACAAGAAACTATTAATCTCATCATGATGTATATATGTGGTATTATGCTAATTTTGATACTTTTGTTTTTTGTATCATGATACTTTGATATTTTCATATTATATATCTGATGAGTTAATATTTTTAAGTTTAAGTACTTATTGAGTAGTTTCTAGTCATGCACCAGTGGTTATATTTATTGAAAGACTTCTTCATGGCTCAGTGAGTTTTGATACATTGCTGGGTATGTGCTTACTCTCTATGTTTTACCAGTTTGTGTTATGAAAACTTTCTCTTCTTTGTGATAATTGGTTAATTAAGTCATATGTCTTTTTTGGAGGGAAATTCTTTTGTTTGGTTAGAATTTGCTGATATTTTGAACCGGATGGTGCTGTGCTGTTCCTTGATATAATTTGTATTCATATTTGGTGGACATCTTTGATTTTAACAAATAAGGTCAGTTTTCTCTAATTAATATATCACATTCCTACTATTATACTGATACGAATGTATTGTATAAATGATTTTGTATGAATGGTCAAAATGAATGATTTCAGATAAAAAGGTGCATCATATGAAAGATTAAAACCCATAAACATATACATTATATATAAAATATTGGTTAAATCAGATAAACTACTCGACACAGTCAAAATAATCATTTGTAAGTATTTAACTGTTTAAGCCAAATTGTACGCAAAAGTAAATAGATGTTTGCTGAAGATGTTTGTTATCAACAAAAATATTTTATATGTTCAAGTTGACATATTTTTGTATACGCACAAACTACTAACAACAACAGTTACGATTATGTTTAAATTACAGATATTGAACCAAGTCCAATATTGTACATGATGTATAGCGCTTTGCTTTCTTTGTACTAATACAACGTTGATAGTCAGAGTCAAAAAGCGAGGCATAGGTATGCTGTTTCCGGTGGCGGCGGCGGCGGCGGAGTTAACAATGTATTAGTTAGTGATTATGTCAGTTTTGTGTGGAACCACTAGTGGTAGGTCAATAATATTTGGTATACAGTTGTATTAGCATAGGCACATCTCATTTCAATGGAAATTATGTAGCACCGCCCCCTCGTCATGGTCTACTGACTTTGAAACTTTTGCTTAGTTTACATGTATTGGTTTGTGATTAGGTCAGTTTATAGGGAACCACTAGTGGTAGGTCAATGAATTGATATTTGGTATGCAGTTGTATTAGCACTGGCACATCTCATTTCCATGGAGATTTTTTTGCCCTGTCCCCTCAGTCATAGTCTATTGACTTTGAAACTATTGCTTAGTTTACATGAATTAGTTTGTGATTAGGAACCACTAGTGGTAGGTCAATGATTTATTGTATGCAGTTAACTTGTACTAGTGTAGGCACATCTCATTTCCATGGAGATTATTTGGCCCCGCCCGCTCAGTCATTTTCTACTGACTTTGAAAAACTTGCTTCGTTTACATGTATTAGTTTGTGATTAGGTCAATTTATGGGGAACTACTAGTGGTAGGTCAAATATATTTGGTATGCAGTTGTATTAGCATTTGTACATCTCATTTCCTTGGAGATTTTTGGCCCAGCCCCCTCAGTCATGGTCTATTAACTTTGAAACTTTTGCTTAGTTTACATGTATTAGTTTATGATTAGGTCAATTTATGGGGAACCCCTAGTGGTAGATCAAATATATTTGGTATGCAGTTGTATTAGCATTGGCACATCTCATTTCCATGAGATTGTTTGGTCCTGTACCTTCAGTCATGGTTCATTGACTGAATATTTTCATAACTTGCATGTAAAAGTATTGCTATTTTAATTTCAACATTTGCATTTTACTATATATCGAAATAACAAAAAGGCGAGAAATATCTCTGTGTTAACAGTTTATTATCAAAATTATATCAGTAGAATATTTGATAGAACTTAATATGTTAGATATTAAGATGTTAAATTTATGATGAGTTCAACATTTCTCACAGTTTTCATTCTTTATACATAATTTTATGAGTACTGTATTTTTGATGTTGTCATTTAAAGTGAACAGAGTTATCTTTCTTTGTACTGATTATTTGTTTTTATATTGCAGGGTCATTATATAAAATATTGACCTGAGGTGTTTATTTTTATTGTACTACCAAAACTATTTAGTTTTATATAGATATTTTTAAAAATTATGCCTATTTGCTTATCCTAGTTCATGTTTTTATGTTTTGCAGGAAATGATTAATAGCGACTGAGTCAAACGAAGAAACTTCAGAGTTAAATGCTCAGAAAGAAAATATGAAGATAGCCAATGCACAACAAAAGGAGAAGCACTTATTAATTATGAAATTGGTATAAAGGAGAGGTCATACATCAGAGAAGACTTAAAGCAAAGTGTACAGGTAGGAGACTTGATTTGTCGATTTTTGTATATTGTCATAAATTAAAGAGTATGATTGCCAATGAGACAATTATCCACCGGATTTCAAATAATGCAGATTTAAGCAACTATAGGTTACTATACGGCTTTCAATAATGAGCCCAACCCATTACATATAGTCAGATATAAAGCTGCCCCAACATTGCTGGTTTACTGTACTTGGACAAATGTTCCATTCATATTCAAGATGATATAAAAAAAATAATAGATCACTTAAGTAGCTTCTGCACATTTTGTAAAAACTTGTTGGAGAGGGGAGGAACTATCACTGAAAAATAGGATTTGTTGGTGATGGCCATAAAAATGTTTTTGCAACAACCCATCTGCAGATGCTTCATATAAAGAGTTGTTACACACGAGACTTAAATAGAAATAGAAACATTTGTCATTAGTAATTACCCTCAAAATCTTATCTTTTATCAGATCAGACTTTTTCTATTAAAACATTGGTATGCAATCCTATTAACATTTGCTCATCTCATTTCTATGGAGATTATATGGTCCTGTTCCCTGACATCATGGTTCATTGACTTTGAAACATTTGTATGTCTTCTGGCTATTCCTATATTTTGTATTGCTTATATGGTAAAGTTTGAGTTTTGTCCAGTTTAAAGGGAACAACTTATAATAAGTCAGTAGTGTTAAGTTGTATGAGCTTTGGCATTTCTTGTCTCCACAGAAGTTATTTGACCCTGCATCTCAGTCTTGGTTTTATTTTGGATTGTTTGCATTGTCGGAGACATATATTTATATATATATATGAAGAACAAAAAATTTGCGAAAGCAAATTTACAGATCTAACATTGTTGGGCTGATGTTTAGACGAGTTGTATATATAACTCGTCTAAATATCAGCCCAACAATGTTAGATCTGTAAATTTGCTTTCGCAAATTTTTTGTTCTTCCCTCGCCGGGTTTCGAACTCATGCTACTGAGATATCGTGACACCAAATCGCCTGCACTGTATCCGACGCGCTAGACCACACGACCACCTAGGCCGTGTCAGGGTATTTATACATCCATAACAGCAAAAAAGACACAAAGTACAGATCAGAGAATACACGCAGTTACTGACAGCTAGTTCAAAGCAACAACCAAAAAAAAATATAAGGTATTTAAGACTAAAATATCAATCAGTACACATCCAACATCCAGTGGATTTAGTATAAAGACGTCATTAACAGATTGTAGTACCGTTAAAGAGCATATGTGTATAACAATAATATTAAGTAAGTATGATTTTAATCTACTGATAACAAAATCAATATTATACTTTTTTTGTGTTTTGGCCAAAAAGTATATAATAAATAGAGAGAAACTGCAAACAAAAATGATCAGCAAAATAAGATCTCCAAATAAGCCAAAAAGAAAAATTATAGTGACTAAAAACGAACCTTATAAGACGTTTATTCGAGAACACTTTTTAAGCAATATGTCAAACACATAAAGTTTAATCAGAATTGATGTTAAACACTAGATGTTACAAGTGAGTTACACGATGACTGTCTCACTGGTTAAAAATAAAATTTATTTTAAGAAATGCGGAGGAGCGACAAGAATTTCCCGTGTAAAATACGTCGTTTTCTAATGAAAGTCGTAGTTTTTAGAAATGGGAATTTTATAACAAAAGGATTATAAAAACACTGATGATGATGACAAACAATTTGTTTCCGACATTTATACCGGTAGGATATATCCATTTTGATGTATGTACACGTTTTATACATACAAAAAATATAATATGTACTTATGTTTTTTTTCCTACATCGTAAGTTTTGGAAGAGATTTTTTTTCTTATGCTATGCAAATGTGGGGACTCGTTCCTTTGTTTTTTATAACTAAAGCTTTATTTATTTATGTATTTGCTGTCATCATATATGTGTATTTTGTATATATAAAAGGGAGGACTTTATATAAGTTGTAATAACTTGTGTCCAATCCTATTTGCTTGATTATTGCAATGAAAAATTACTGAAGAATTCTTTCGTCAAGCCTGCATTAATGATAAACAGAACAGATATATGGTGTATAAATTCATGACACGGAATCCTTGCACTCACTTTAAAAACCCCAAAGCATATGAACAGTGCTTTTATTGTTTGTCTTTATCTCAAAGTCACATTGAGGACTTCAGCAAACAGAAAAAGCAAGCTAAAAAGACGATCCTAGTAATAATGACAACGGAACAGTTACATTCACCCGATCATTACACGCTAAAACAACTGAAAGTTAGGTATTTATCGTTCCTTTGCTTTACTTTTAATGTTTTTGTTTTTGGCTTGATGTTTGCGAGTGTTTTATTTTACTCGTATTATCAGTGTGTGTTAGAGGAGATATGGACGTTCTAATCTCACGCTCACGTACGTTTCGAAATCTGACATCCATGGGTCGATTCCATCTTGCTGCATTTTTTATTTGAATGTTAACATATTCTGTAGAGTTGTCCTTCCAAAATTACAAATGTACTAGCCGGAGTTCGACTGGACCTTTGCACAGTAGCCACCGATATATCAACTGGGCTAAATTAGAGTAAAAAGTACACTCCTTTATCTAAGACGGCAGAGTGGTTATTTACTATGCAAGGAGTACAAGCCTTAAATTCAGTCGGCAGAGAGGTTGTTTACTATGCCAGGGAGTACTCTTCTGTATATCAGTTGTTTGCGCAGTTGGTTACTGTGCCAACGGTCGGTCTCTTGATTGGATGGTACTGTTCACAGGCACTTGTCTCAGAAAAAATTCCTATATACCTAGACAAGTGCCTGTGGTACTGTTGTAATTTTGGGAAAAAAACAAGTTATTCAGATACAAGAAACACATGATATGTTAATGAAACTATTCCAAACAATTGTGTAATTAAGAAATAAATATACTTTTTTTGTACAGAACAGAAGAATTAACGGTCACTATCTGTGTTTAGAGATTGAATAGAAAATACAACTACAGTCAATGTCTCAAAAAGGTATTTTTTCTATCCTCATAGTTTCATTTTTGTACGTTTACAAACCGGACTCAAGCTAGCGATCAATTTCTAGAGACCATTCAAGGTAGAGACATATTCTAGCGATCGCTAAAGATCACAATAATAACAAACACGCTATAGAACCAACAATTAAAATTGGGTTATAAAGTTCTATTAAAAAAAAATTTCTAGCTACCAGTACGAAATATATCGTTTTTTTGTTTGATTGATCAAATATGTCCTCATTTAAGATAAAAAGTGGACAACCCAATATCAGTAAGTAGCTCTGTAGCTCAATGAATGCTCATACTTTTGCTCTTAACAGTAAGGTCTATAGTTCGAGTCTGGTAAATCGGTCTTTTAATTACTAGGGGGAAAAATCGAGCCTGCAAATCGAAAATATACAATTCATGTTAGTAGAGCTATCGTCAAATTCATGCTCAATGTTAACTCTCTATCTACTAGTATTATTCAAAGCAATATTTAAATATAAACGATCCGTTTTTATGTTTATGGCAATCAAAAAGAGATTATATTAATATATGTGAAAGAGCTTTGTTCACAGTCAAAATCTGGAAAATCACGTTAAAAAAGTATATCTCAAAGTCTGCTTTGCTTTTCAAACTATAGTCTGAATAGAATAAAGATCACTCTAACTCCAAAAAAAAAATGTCTGAAACTGACTACATCAAGATGCTTAAGAGAGTTGAAAGATACCAAAGGATATTCAAACTCATATTTAAAGTCGTAAAACAAACTGACAATGTTATGGCATAAAACGGAAAACGACGAAAAGTCAAATAACTGTACACAAAACACAGCATAGAAAACTAAAAAACCGGAGGTGATCTCAGGTGTTCCAGAAGGATAAGCAGATCCTGCTCCACATGGGGCCCCCGTACGTCGTGTTGCTCATTTTTAAAGTACAAACCCGGTGATAAGTCTAATTCAGTAGGTCACATTCGAGGAAAAGAGGACGGGACTGTGTCATTATCCTTTTACTTCATATTCCGCTATATACAATGTAGATGATGTTCTCTCACTAAATAATTCAAAGTTTAATAAGCATTTTAAACGAATCTCTCATATCGAACTAAAGGATGATACCACAGATACAGTTCAGTCTACCTCATATCTTAACTTACATCTAGAAATTGACAATGAAGGTCGGTTAAGAGCAAAACTTTACGACAGAATGGATGCTTGCAGATTCCCAACTGTGAACTTTCATTTCTATGTAACAACGTCTAAGCAGCGATGTATATAGAATATATATCTCTCAGTTGGTACTATATTCTAAAGCTCACTAGAGGGCTGCGGCTTACAAGGAAGTTATTGTGTTATAGGTTCTAAGTGGTAAATTTGAAGACATCCCTTAGAAAATTTTGCGGATGGCATCACTAGTTAGTTAACCATTGTGAAATATCCGTGTCACAGATGACCACGGATATTTCAAATTGTCCGAACCACAATCCTGTCATCTTTTCCTCGATTGCGATATCACCGAATGAGACTTATACGCGAATTTTTACTTACTATGAACAGCATATAGGGTGCTACATCAGGATCACCTGAGATCAACCCCGATTTTCAGTGGGGTTCATGTTGCTGAAGTCTTAAGTTGTCTATGCAGTGTTATCTGGACTTGTCTTATCATTGTTTTTCGTTTCTTGCCATGGCATTGTCATTTTCTCTTAGACTTATGAGTTTTTGAATGTCCTCTTGGTATCTTCCGCCTCTTTTTGATATATGTTTAAATATTAAACATTGATACTTTAAATTAATACTATAATAAAATAATTATCCTTAGAAGGCATTACTATAGGAATAACAAAAATGAATTTGAAGAGTTGCCACTATCAAACCCCTAATTGAAAGTGTCAACTCTTCAAAAAATACCTTTATTTCTTTTCCAATGCAAAAAAAAAAAAAAAATTACGGAAGACACCAACGGGACAATCAAATATCATTACTCGAATCAAAACAGACAGCATAGCAAAAAACGAAAATGAAGAAAAGACAAACAAAAGAAAACTAAAGATTGAGCAACTCGAACTCCGCCAAAAAACGGGGTTGATTTCAGGTTTTTCGTAAAAATGATCATACAATATTAAAAATAAAGCATTTGATATATTACGGAAACCCGACTGCAATTGTTTAACGTTGTTTCAAATGACAGTCAACCGTGAAATTGACGACAGACGTCAATCAAACAAAAGTGGCGTTATATGTCATTTAAAAAGGAATCATGTATTCAACTTATCTTATAGCCATATGAATCATAACTGAACTCATTTGTGGTCTTTGAACATTTACATGGTTTCTTATAATTACAGGATGTTTGAATGATGCACATGGTGCATGTATCTCTGAGCCAATGTGTGTCTACCACAAGTCAGAATATATTCGATTTTATTGTGAAGAATGCCGAGTTTTTATTTGCGACGACTGCATTACTGGGAAAGGCAAACATAGAAGATGTTTTAAGACAAAACTAAGTGACTATGGAAATAGAACAAGACGTTTGTTAAGAGAAAGGACAAAAAGAGCAGAAGACAAACTCTCCAAATTAAGTTCAGAATTGGATCTTGCTATGCACGTTCAAAAACGTTTCAATGAAGCAGTGGACGAAAGCATTAGTTCGGTTGTATTCAGAAGAGAAATCATACGACAGAAATTTGACGATTTACAAAAAGAGTTGATAACTAAATTAGATGGCTTGCGTAACCAGGCAAATACGCAATATGAAGAATTCATCAATCTTCATACTAATCAATACTGCAAAATGAAAGAAATTACAGAGACTATCCGTACTACGGAAACGGAAATGACTGAAAACGATATGGTGACGTATACTTCTAAACTGAATAAATTTATAGATAGTTCGGAGGCTGTTCCAAAACTTGAGCCCCCAAGCTATGTGACGGATGACAAGTATTTTTCCTCAAAATATCTACGACAACTATTTGGCGATATTGAATTTGTTGAGTTAAATTACCTGCCAATTGCAACTTATTGAGCCAGACACCAACCAACGTAGTTCTATCTCAAGACTATAAATACCAACATACAGAAGAAAAAGAAAAGATAATGTACATGCCACTTTTTCTTTAGATGGTGAAAATGACAAAGCGTCAGGAGCCGAAACTTTAAAAAAAAAAATTTTTAACTACAAATTATCCTAGAAAGATCATGAACATGAATGACATATTTGCCACTGGACGCTTAACAACCCATAAATAATCCATTAAAGAAAGAAAAGGAGAAAGAATAAAATGAAAAAAGAAGAAAGAAATTCACATGCTTCTTTTTCCAAGGTTCCAATTCAGTGATCATTTATGTGTAATCTCGGTTTAGTATGTCCCTTCGAAATCTAAAACTTTTCATTTATTTGTAGGTTTGAATTTACCAACTTTAATATATTTATAACTTTAGTACTATAAGAAATTTCTCATGAATGTTATCATATTAGATTATTTATTTTGATATATTCTTTTGGTTTTTGATGAGCCTGCGACGTATGTCACAGAAGTGAAACTAGCGATCCTACATTCCATCGTCGTTGGCGTCGGTGTCAACATTTAGGTTCAGTCTGTAGTTAAATTTTACTTGATACATCAATAGCTTTGTCAAACCTTCATGGAATTTTAAGAAACTTTAAAAAAAAAAGCATTCTTGGATCAAAGACAGTATCAAGAGCAAAACTTTGAAAACACATGTTTTTTTCTCTTTTTTATGTATTCTACTGACAAATGACAGGGTAAGCAGTTCAAGCTCCACACCAAATACATTCTTGGGTTAAAGTTTTCTCACATATCAAAAACTTTGTCAAACCTTCATAGAATTTTATGAAACTTTGGTAGAAGCTTATCAAAGGTTAAGACATGGTTGAACTTTAAAGCAACTTGTTTCTTTCACTATTTGTATCATACTGATAAATGAACAAAAGTTTTTGCTTGGGTTGATATTTTATAGACATAAATAACTTTGATAAATCTTCTTAGAATGTCATGAAACTTTGGCAGAGTCTTTTTTTATGATGAAGCGATAATGTCTGAAGCTATATTTTGAAAAAGTATTTTTATTTTTTTATTTTTCAGTATCTGTCCGATCTTTTCAATTCTTTATGGAATCTTGGAAACTTGGGAAAAAGATAAATTGTCACCTTTATTTAACTGATAAACGACATAAACGGACTTTGTTTTTGACAGTCAGCATTACACTAAGGATAAAATTTATGACTTTCAAATCATATGACAAATCACATATGCTAATATGTTTAATTTTGATATCGTACTGACAGCAGCTATTGCAAGCGAGACGCGGAGTGGCACCGTTAAAGTCCATAATTCCTCTAAAGTCCACAACACCGCTAAAGTCCACAACACATTTCCGCTAAAGACCACAACGCCGCTAAAGTCCACAAACTTTCCGCTAAAGTCCACAAAATGACCTCCGCTAAAGTCCACAAGAAAACGCCGTTAAAGTCCACAATAACAAGTTCCGCTAAACTCCACAAAAAAGCACCGTTAAAGTCCACACATTTTTTTTTTATTATTAAAAACATCAATTTTTTATCCCGTTAGTACAATACAAAGCATGGGCCTTTCTTCTCGGTAGTTATTTGTTTATCAGTTTGATAAATGAGAAAAGTACAGTATCTGTAGATGATTTTGTTCCATTAATTTTGATCTTTGTATTATGATCAGATGATGATGGCCAATTTGGACATCATTTCTAAAAAGTTCGTAAATTCGTTAGTTAATATTAACTTATTACATTATTACTGCATTCTTCAAGTACTGTTTTTTTTTCTTATTCTTTGCATATAATCACTTTTTGACGTAACTAATGTACAAAGCAAACTTGCCTCCTAATCTATAACATTTGAACGGCATTCATTCGGACAACAATCTTGATTATGATTATAAACAAAAAAATACTAAGTACATGAATCCCCAAAGGTCTCCTGTCACAAAACTTTTAACCAACGTTCAAAACGTTACTAATTTCGGTGTTAGTTATAGAAAACAACGAAAAATAATGTGTTATGATTTTCAGAACGGAAAAATGAAGCCAGTATGATAAATTCTAAATAAAAAAAAAAAATTCTATGCTATAAATTATATTTTTAACTATTAGTATAGGATATCGATGCGTTGAATGGGTGTCTACCAAAATGTCACAATAAAACCTGATTTGAGTACATTTCAATGAGACAGCAACTCAACAATAAATGTAATACATTTTTACATCACTCTTCCGGAAACCAAATTGGAAATTTAAATATTACTTGCATCATACTTGTATACCATTAATATCAGTTAATAGAATATTGATTAGTTTTTGACCTAAAATGAATTTAAACAAAATTTCGCACAAAAGTGTATGTGTTGTACTGTTTCATCACTGTTCCAGGTTAGGGAAGGGTTTGGCGCCAGCAAAGTGTTTAACTTCGTCACATTCTGTTATGGACCTGTAATTCGTTGGCTGTCGTTTGTTGCTGTATATCATATTATTTTCCCGTTTATTGTTACGGAAAAAAATCAGGCCGTTACTTTTTTCGTTTGAATTGTTTAACCTTTTTTTCCGTTTATTTCGGGCCTTTTAAAGCTTATTGTGAGGTATCGATTGTGCTCATTATTGAGGGCCGTACGGTGATCTATAATAGTTGTTAAATTCTCTGGTAGAGAATAATCTCATCGGCAATCTTACCACATATTTTTCTATCAGTTAAATAATTTCCGAGGCCTGGTTTGCCGATCGATCTAAGAAGTATTGTATCTACAGTAATCACTAGGATGTCAACACCGAGGTTGTAAATTCGATGAACCCCGCTCGAAACAAGAGGGTTCGACTCCAATCCTTATTAACTACTTCTTTATTGTTCTGCACTCCTTTATCTAAAACAACATATTGTTGTCTAATTCCTTACACTCACTTCATTTGAACTTTGGTGAAGAGTTGTCCCATTGGCAATCATACCACATCTCCTTATATTTCATAATGACTGTTTACTTATTCCGTACTATGTTCTGTGTACTATTTTCGTTAACACATGACATGGGTACAATCTCTTTGTTCTTACTGTGCTATAATCTGGATAATGCACAGCTAAGGCGGACCCTGGATTTTGAAAGGGATGGAACTTGATTCCATAAAATTAAAAAAAATATCTATTTTATAATATTTTGTGTACAATGTAAATCTTAAATGGGTGTTTCACAGTCAAACCAGTTTACTTAATAATTATATTTTGTAATTTCTGCCAAAAAAAGTGTATTTTAGAATATCAAATTAAATAAACTCTGTGTTCCATGGAATGAATGTATTACGATTATTTAGATATGTATACCTTTTTAGTGACTATTTTGCGATCGAATTTAATGAGGATAATTTTTAAGTTTGTACCAAAACAGCGTGGGAGGGGGAATGAGCTGCCGATCAATTGTTAAGATGCGACATGTCTTCAAAAATGAATTCAGTAGACACAAAATAAAGGGGGGAGGGAAAGTCAAAGATTGAAAAATGAAACATTTTTTTTCTGTTTACTCAATATTTTGAATTAAGGTACATTTCTCCTCGGTTCATCTTCTTCTACGCATATTATTGAGGGAAAGAAAGGCAATTAATCTATACCCAATAACCCGTTCAGTTATGATTTTTCATACACCGATTTAAAAGGTATGTAGCAAACTGAACTAAAACTGAGGAGATGTAGGTTATACGTCAATAAGACAGTAATCAAACGACAAAAAACAAACTAATGACTACTGAAGGGCAACATGTAGTATAGTTTTAAAAAAAAAGGTGTTTACACAATATGTCAATTTTTAAATCGTCACTAATTTATATAAAAATTGTGAATAAAGGAGTAGGTCCGGTAAGGGCCGATTTTGACCTCAAAATTCAGGTTCATCTGATGAAAGATTTTGGACACTTTTTAAACACTTAAGTGTCTACTTCAGTCGATTCAATTAGTTTATGTGAAAGATTTGAACTGATTTAGTCATTAAAGAGGCTCAAGTTCAAGCTTTAATATGAAAATCTATCAAATATGCCATAATATGTCACTTTTCAGATGGGTTTTGTCAAAAATGAAGGTGGCCGCATCCGTGTTCATTCTCAACTTTTATATATGTTATGTATTATCATCAAATACAACTTACATTTAAATATTAAGAATGAACACAAATGCGGCCACTTCCATTTCAGACGGAAACCGTCTCAAAATTAACCAAAATGCTAAAATTTTGAAGATTTCAGTAATTAAGCATAACTTAATGATGCTAGTACCCGATACATGTGCATTGTATTGTCAAAAACAGCCCATATTTACGTAACAGAAGTATTCTACTTTCCAATAAATAGCTATCGTTTACATTTTAACAATTTTGTAAAACTGCTATATTTTGGGGCCAAAAAGGGGTCTTACTGAGCATACTCCTTTAACAGAAACGATGAAAAACAATCTTACATCAAACTGCAATTCTCCAAAAAAATGTAACAATTTAGGAAAAAGCCTAAATATAAAAAAAATGTTAATTATTTAATACTTACCAACCTTTAACTGCATTACAGCGTATTTCCCCCTTTCTTTGCCCTACAAGAAACTTTCCTAGGAGCCGTGGATTGCGGAATATCGTCCGCATATTTCCAAAATGTTCACGTAAATTGATGACGTAATGTGTTAAAACAGTTATTCGCCAATCAAATCGGTGTATATGGTTTAATCTGCACGGCTCGGGATGACCCTTTTACCCGAACTCCTACGTCGGTTAATTAGGGTCACCCGAGCCGTGCAGAATAAATATATATATACCGACTTGCTTGGTGAATAACTATAACAAAAAAACAAGAATGTGTCCATAGTACACGGATGCCCCATCCGCACTATCAATTTCTATGTTCAGTGGACCGTGAAAATGGGATAAACACTCTAATTTGGCATTACAATTAGAAAGATCATATCATAGAGAACATGTGTACTAAGTTTCAAGTTGATTGGACTTCAACTTCATCAAAAACTACCTCGACCAAAAACTTTAACCTGAAGCGGGACAGACGGACGGACGAACGGACAGACGGACGGACGGACGAACGAACGAACGGACGCACATACCAGAAAACATAATGCCCATAAATGGGGCACACAAAAATATACATACACTAGTTGTTTAACTTAGTAAAGTGTTTTAATTACATGCAAAATTAGTCAAAGATTAATATGTATAAACTCACAAAACGCTAAATCTGTTCTGCAGTAACCAATAAAATTGTATTGATGAGAACAGAAACATTCCTTGATAGTATATAATTCGTAAAAGTTTCAGCTCAAAATTTCATACTAGTCCTCCATTTAGCCTTTTAAAAATACTAAAAAAGTATCTTAAAAAAGAGAATAAAGAAAGGAAATTAACTCTGAAAGCGATACCGTGAACTTTGATGTGACGTATATTTTATAAATCATCATGACTATAGGATAG